GACTGGATCAGGAGTGTAATTAATATCACATTGATTCCGACCGATGGGAATCATTCACGACTGATAAATCATTCTGCTGGATGATGAATCAGTCATCGAGGGAATCGGTCACAGACTGACATACTGACTTAAAGATGGGCTTACTCACTGATTCACTCACCGATTTCTTATTCGCTGAATTCCTTTCAACCAATCATTCGGAGGTTCCATTGAATTATTGATTGCTTGTCGACGATGGTGTTCTGCTAGCTTCTCGCTCAGTCTGTTCGCTTCAGTCAACGAGTCGATGAATTGTGATGAGGTGAGATGAGGCGACTACTCATGTCTTTTCGCTTCTTGTATGCAATGACGTGAAATGTGTTGTGTGTAGTTGTCATCAGTGTAGACTGTTGCATGTTCATTTGACTTGTATGTTGTGTAAGTAGGCGTTGAGGGAGGCAGTGTTTGTGTGTGTGTGTGTGTGAGAGAGAGAGACAGAGACAGAGAGAGTGAAAGAGTGAGTGATATAGTTACTGAGTGACTGATTGACTGAGTGATTGAGTGATTGTGTGTGAGAGTGACTGTATTCGTCAGTGAGTGAGTGGGTTCGTGAGTGCGTGAGTCGGTGTGTGAATGAATGTGAATTAGTGTGAGGGTGAGATTGTGCTTCTGTGCGTGTATCGGTGTATGTGATCGTGTGGGTTTTTGTGCGTGTGTGTGTGCATGTGTGTGAATGTGTGTGTGTGCGTGTGTGTTTGTTTGTGTATGAGGATGGGTAGGCCCGTCGCCAATGTATGAGCGTGATTGGTGTGGAGATCGAGGGAGGAATGTTGGGAAGTGTTGTGGGTCAGTGTGGAGTTTGTGGTTGGTATTTAATGGATTTGAGTGTGTTCGTGTTTTCCTGTCTGTCTGTCTGTCTGTCTGTCTGTGTATGTGTGAATTCGTGTGCTTTGAAGTTAGTGAATTCGTGTGTACGCTTGCGTTTATCGGTTTGTGCTTGTGAGTGGATATGAATGGTGGGTATAATTTGAGTGTGTTTTTGTTGACCGATTGATTTGTTGTTGATGGTGGATTGATTGTTTTATTGTGTGTGTGTGTGAGAGAGAGAGAGAGAGTGAGAGAGAGTGTGTGTGTTATGTGGAGTTTTGAGATGAGAATGTGAGTAATGCTGTTTACGTTTGGCCCGGTTAGCTCAGTCGGTAGAGCATCAGACTTTTAATCTGAGGGTCGGGGGTTCGAGCCCCCCATCGGGCGGCGGCTTTTGATCGACGCCAACTACTCCTACCACAAATGTACACCGACACTGTCCCCACTTCCTATCGCCACTCTATGCATCTCCTACAGCCTCAGACACTAACTCCGCCTCACATCGACTACAATCCTCCATGTGATAACAGCCACCCGACATTGACAAATACACCACCCACAAACAACAACAACAACAACAACATCAACATCAACATGAAGAACAACACAGCCACATACACACGCACACAGAGTCAATCACAAATCGAATCCACCAATGTACACGTTGTTTTTTTTCGATGTCAGTGTGCCTGTCTTACTCAACATCATCATGATCATGACTGGATCAGGAGTGTAATTAATATCACATTGATTCCGACCGATGGGAATCATTCACGACTGATAAATCATTCTGCTGGATGATGAATCAGTCATCGAGGGAATCGGTCACAGACTGACATACTGACTTAAAGATGGGCTTACTCACTGATTCACTCACCGATTTCTTATTCGCTGAATTCCTTTCAACCAATCATTCGGAGGTTCCATTGAATTATTGATTGCTTGTCGACGATGGTGTTCTGCTAGCTTCTCGCTCAGTCTGTTCGCTTCAGTCAACGAGTCGATGAATTGTGATGAGGTGAGATGAGGCGACTACTCATGTCTTTTCGCTTCTTGTATGCAATGACGTGAAATGTGTTGTGTGTAGTTGTCATCAGTGTAGACTGTTGCATGTTCAGTTGATTTATATTTTGTTTACATCTATGTCGATTATTATACATTTTTTTTGTGAATGGGCTATGTGTTTATTTCTTTTTTGTCATATTTCCTTGGGGCATGTGAAGATTATGTCTGAGTTATTGTTTGCCTTATGATTTTTCTGGGACGTGATTCCCTGTGTGGATGATTGTTTTCATTCTTATTTTTCTATTGTTATCTTTGACTTTTTTCTTTGTTTCTTTTTTTGATTATCTATCTCTCTTAATTTTGTGGTTTGTTTCTGATTTTTTTAATGTTTTTCTCTTACGTAATTCATACATTTATATTGACGAAGTTTCTCGCTATTTCTGGCTTTTTTTCGTTTGGATTAATTTCGCGTTTTTAACTTACTCCCGTCTTCATGCTTCCTGAAGTGATGTAATTCTCCTGAAACTGAATGTTTCAAATCACATCGTGTCGAATTCACAAGCCATTGGATTTCTTACCAGTGACTGATTTGTTAACAGTCTGTCCTTTCATCCGAGTGTCCTGGTACCGTCACTTCTATTTAGTATCACGAATGCGTACCCCTGAATATTCCCTAACTAGGACGAAACGACTCTTGAGTTCTGTTCGGTCTGTAGTAGTTCTCCGTTTACTGTCAACATGTCATCTATCTCGTCATGGATCAGATTCCTGCTAACAAGCATTTGCACATAACCTCAAACACACAATCGATCAATATTAAATCTCTACTATTCTGAATCGTCTGGGTCTATATGCAATCACGTAACATCTTGTACATTGAATAGATTCATTAAGAACAAACTGACATCTGACTGTGTTAAAAAATATTGATATTTATAAAACATGTCCTTTCAAAAATTAATATAAATTAATTTTAATCTGAATAATTATAAGATAACATAATACATTATATTTTGAAAGTCATAATTGAAATACCATTTGGTTTAAAAGTGGCGCAATTTATAAATAATATTTGCTGGGTAACTGATACACTAAAACAAAATATAAATTGACAAGAAGATTTTACACAAGTTCAGTAATCTCCAATTATCACGTTAAACTTAATTTGTCAGAAGTGAAAATTATTGATCATTTAAGAATAAAGAATGTCAATAAGAACAAAAGATGAAATAAGAGGAAATTATTATCAAGTTTTTTACAATGTAGACGATCTACTCCATGGTTGTTCTTCTCCACTGGTTAAATATAAATTTATAATTGAACCAAACCATGCGACACTGGAGGATACGCCAAACACAATGAACCAATCGGTCAAATCTGACTGGAAAAAAGTGGTGATGACAATAATAATAATAATAATAATAGGAAGTATATCGATAAAACTGGAAATAGAATACTGAGAATTTGACAAAGAACTGTAACTTTTTAATTTAAACGACACACTAATGTCACCTTTTAGATAATCACTGGAAGCCAGAAATTGGTACTTTATAAAGAAGTTAGAATTCATGGGCCAGTGAATTTCATCTTGGAGAGATTTCTAAGTCCTTCAAAATATTAAATAGACAAAGGACAGCAAATTTACTAGGATTTGCCGAAGCGATCGCAATCAAACGATTTAAACCAGTCTTATGCATACATTGTGATTGTGTGATTGACCTCTCACTCCCTTGGTAACTGAATTTCGAATTTTGATTACATTAATTAGTCATCTAATTCAGTGATCTCAATTCACTGAACAAATCTTAATCTCATAAACTGTAACCGATTTTGTTTTTTGAGTTGCTATATGAACCTGCAAGCTAATACTGTTCTGTCAATTAATTTCTTCTGTTTTCTGTCTTACCCCTCCCCCTCTTTTCAACTTTGAAAGGTGTATAATTTGATGATGAAAAAATTAAACTAAATAATTGTAATTCTTTCATTTTGGATGCGTATCTCTTCTCTACTACCACTAAAACATTAAATTGTGTTATTATCAACTATATAACCATTGTAATTTCAAGTAGTCTGCAGCTGATGAGAACCTGTGAAATAGAATGATGACATCATTTTATACTACAAATTCCGTCTTCCTTCCTTTATCGAAATTTATCAAGGGAACTAAATGTATGGAATTTCACCTTATTAGATGAATAGTCAATGAATCCTGAACTCGAACCCCTGGTAGGATCATCCATGAGTACTTCTGAAAGATGTCTCAAGCTAGGGAAAAAGAAACAACTGTCTAATACACCCTAGTTTTCATCAATTCTCCGTCCAAGCTGAAACCAATGAAATATCTCCAGAAAGATATTTGGAAAAAAGTGAATATTTTTGAGTTGCAGATTCCATGCTAATTCATAAAACTACAAAGCGAACGATTGTATCATATCATCGTTATCTTTTACAATGTTTCTAGAAAGCTGATAAAGGAAACTTTCTAACAGAGATTAACTATATCTCAGAATATATATATATATATATATATATATATATATATATATATATATATAGAGAGAGAGAGAGAGAGAGAGTTTACTGATGAAGTAGAGTCGGCTGATGGAACTCTAAACTTTCTGGATTGTCTTGTAAAAAGACAAACAGACGAGAAACTAAAATTTACAATATACAGAAAACTGATACATTCCAACAAGTATTTGAATTTCCAATCAGATCATCCAATAAGAATGAAAGTTTCAGTAGCTTTAAATCTCATTAACAGAGCTAGAAACATTATAACAGATAATGACGATATGGAGAACGAGATGTCCAATATAAAACAGATTTGGATTGGAAATAGTTATCCTGAAAAGCTACTAGATAATATTATCAATAAAAAGGAGCATAAGGGAAAACAAAAAATTGAAAAATCCTGGCTATCGACTATAGTCATTCTATATCTTAAGGACACAACTGAACAACTTCAAAGACTATTTGCTACATATAATGTTAAAGTCTATGTCAAACCTTCTAATTCTCTAGAGAAAGCGCTGGTGCATGTCAAAGATATAGTTCCCAAAATGTCACAAAGTAATTGTGTCTACAAGATAAAGTGTTCAGAATGTGATGCATGCTATATAGGGAAGAGCAGTAGGCAGGTGAAAGTCAGAGTGAATGAACATAGGCAATGCACGAAACGTCCACCTAGAAATGAAGTAGAATTAAAAAGTCTTGCGAAAAAATCGGCTATAACAATGCATGCGATAGACAGAGGACATAAAAATGATTTCGACAATTTCCAAATTCTTGGGAGAGGATTTCATTCACATAAAGAAAGGTCGACCTCTGAAACCTAGTACATTTTAACTACATCGAATGTCTGTCTGTCTATTTTCGACATAGAACTTTTCACATATGTGCGGAAGTTCAAGTAGCCACTCCCCCTCCATGTAGCACACAAAGCAAGAGAAGAAAGGAGGAGAAATGCATATTAGAGACAGTAAACAGAGGTGTGAGACAAAGTAATAGTAATAGCGAAGAACAAAACAGTTTCATTGGAAATCATAAGTCACAAGGAGTGGATGCATCTGCACCAGCCATTGAGAACGATTTTGAGCCATGTCACCAATTGTTTCCAGCTTTCACTGGTTTTTACCGTCCCGAGGACCCCAACCAGGAAGTCTACACCTTCATACGTGACTGGCTTAGACTAACTGTTGTGGATTTCATTGACAGGTGTCATGTTTTGGTTTGACCCCCGATAGCTATTTTCCAGCCTGAGCCTATATCAGCTAACAGTGCCCGTCGAGGAAGGCGATGACTAGGCATACGTAACATATGTCCTAACCATCTCAGTCGATGCAGCTGCTTCACAGCCTCGTCGATTGATTTCTCCTCCCTCCTTACCTATCACTCGACGCCTAAATTCAATATTGCACTGAATGGGAAAGAAGGGATAGACTTATCACCTATATGGCAAACTCTAATGAATCAAGACAGATAAAAAAACACAACGAAAACCTATATGAACCTCCATGACTTTTACAAAAAAGTACTATCATGTTTATCACATGTGAAATGACGTCTTTTCCATATGCTCGCTAGTGACTTGCTACAGGATAGAGTTCCCTGGAGTTCTAGTGAGAAGTCATAACCAGTGACGGCCATCCAGTCGAGAGTGAGGATGGATATTCCACCGATGACATTGATGGCTGGTGGTCGCTCTAAATATCAAGAAATGATAGAAGTTAGAATTCATAGCTGGCCATTGAGGAATCAGATATCACTGGCTGAATGGTATACGAGCTAGCTAGGCTTGTAGCCGGAGGGTCCTGAGTTCAAAACTTGGCGATGGGTGCGTACTACCGATGGGTTAGGGTTAGGGTGTAGAATTCTGTCAAGAAATGAAATCAGTTTTGAAGAATCATGAAAAAAACAACAACAACTAGTGGAGCAATCGATAAATTTTTCACCTTAGATTTAAATGCTTCAGCTGTGAGCATTCATGAGTCACAAAGGATAAGAGTCAGGAGCTTCAGGTAATAGAAGGACGTTAAAAGCAGTTAAAACAGTCTTAGTTGGGATTAAACCAAGATGGAGACCACTAGACTGAATCGGGATATTTATTCCAATGTTATTGGAAAACCTTAAAGCCTTGACCTTATGCGACTAGTATATAATTGGTTAGTTTTCGGCTTAACTTTCTGAGGTAAATAATATTTGTATATACATAATGAATGTAATTTTGTGTAATGAAATCAAATTGTTATCATCGGCATGGACCAGTCTATCTTTGGTCTGCGTTTTTGTAGTCTCTGCAGGGGGTCAGAAGTTACCGGTGAGTAGTATTAAAATATCGAACCCACGAATCAGCACTATGATTATTGCATCATCACCGACATAATGGCACGCCATCCCGTAGGCCATTAACTCGGTCGGTTGGAATTTAATAATTTCATGACCTATATAAATCATGGATTTGATCCCTAGAGAGTCGTAACTGTGCACACAGCTGAAGTATCTTTAACTAGGATGAAACGCCTGTATAGTTCACCTTAGTTTTCAGTGATTCACTAAGTGATATCAGTTCATGACGAAATCTACGGTGAGATTTAAAGAAATTAGACGATACTGTGTCTTAATCATACATATATATGCATATTATGTGTAACGATTGTTTCTGAAATAACAGCCAGAATACTAAAACCATTCGAAATAGATGTGACACACAAACAAACACAACTACTTCATTCAGTACTATGCAGACCAAAAGACCCACCCACTAGTAAAAGAAGACATGATCAACACTATCTACAAAATAAATCACATCAATTGTGATAAGCACCATATTGTTCAAATTGGACGTCCCTTTCGAGTCTGAATCCGGAAACATAAACTAGTTGTGAGAAGACACAGCATGTATTCTTTCATATCAACACATTTAGGTAGATATGGACTCCAATTTGACTGGGAAAATGTAGACATTTTAAATGGAGGAAACATCAGAAGTAATGTCAAGGGATTCCTGGATGTCTGATACTAAGACCAGTCAGCGATTAAGAAACTTATTATTCAAAAGAATGGTTACTGAACAAAGAATATTCACATTTCTGATAATCTGCTTTTCATCAGGTTCTGCAGTTATATATGCATAATAGTGAATGAATTAGTGGTATAAACAACATTAATGTTGTTTAAATAACACCGAATCAATAATATCAATAGATTACAGTTCAATACCATTGGTGGCATAGTGGTTAGGACTCTTGCCGACCATGCACATGGTCCGAGGTTCGATCCCCTGCTGGCTTACACCTGATATCTATGGTCGGCCTGAAAAATTTGGGCTGCCAATATCACGTGCTGAAAATTCCATACGTGTACCAAAAAATTAAGGTGAGGAATCAAGCTGAAATCAAAAATAAAAACATAACAATACACTGAATATCAGACAGGCGAATTAGGAAAAATAATAATCCAAATTCATGAACATATAGTCTTTACTGAAGGCCGTCCAGAGCAGAAGTAGTAGTTGGCTGAACTTGTTTCTTTTGCACACAAAGTATTGGTTGTTCCACGTGAATTGTGATAGCCTCTGCTGTTTGGAGCATGTGGTACCTCAGTGTTTTTGACAATTTATTTGGTACCCGGTAGGTAATAGAGAAGGATTCTTCAATCCTGGCCTTATGACCGGTTTGGACCAGGTGGTCTAATATCGAATTGATGATGGTTTTTACTACACCTTTACTTAGCCATACTGGGAGATGTTCTCGAGCGAGCACGAAAAATAAAGTTTCTAGAACAACGGCCAATATAACTTGCTCCACAAGCGATAAAATCAATCACCAATGGAGAAAATTAACAATCGATCACAACAGAGGTCGCCAGGAAATACAATTATATCATTCGTGGAGAGCTTAATTAGGCGGTTCATTCATACTGAAGCTTGAGCTGAAGTGATTTTGTCTAAAAGGAGAATGAAATCGCAGTTAACCCGCCAAGCTCAAAAAACACAACGACATATACACATGACTTTTCGCTCCGTGTTTGCTACTGGTTAGGTGAGGTTCAGAATTACGTCGTTGAGGAATCAAACCCTAGACTACAAACATGGTTGGCTAGAATTCAACCAACGAACCATCATCATTTATATATACACGTGTACATTTACGGATTAGGGAAAATAATACAATCCCGTTGAACTTACGCTGTATTTAGTCACAAAACCAACAACAAGTGGTGCAAATATACCGGATGTCGATGCGATTGTACTGCTTATAGATATTATGTTACCTAGATGAGTATTAAAGAAGAAACAGGGAGAAAATTAAAGCGTAAATGAAGACACAAGACAACAAATTTATGATAAATAAAACAATGAGTTAATCCCATATTAATTTGTTTATTGTACATATATATAGCGAAATAAAACAGTGTCATATCTTAACTAGTAAGGGTGCTTTGATGACTAACAGACTTACACAGAAAGATAATATATACCAAGAAAAGGAGAAATCTAAAAAGTTATGCTCTACGAAGCTTTACTTGGGATTCTTAACAAGACAGGAATAGAAAGAAGCACTCAGATCTACATACCCACTTAGAAATAAATTATATTGATTAAAGGATCTTGTGAAGCCTATCAAAATAAAATAATTTAGTTTCTGTAGTTTGGTTTTTAAGGATTAGTTTTGTTTTTACGAGTTGATCACGGATTGATATCAGTTAGAGAACCGTTGGAAACTAGAAGGGAGCACTGGACATCTGTTTCACCAGCCTTAGTTTGTGACTCATCGACAGTACACACCCACTGCCAGGGTTTGAACCCAGGACCTTCCGGTTACAAGGACAGCGAGCTCGTATACCATTCAGCCACTGGGATCAAATTCCTCAATGGCTCATCAGTTCTAACTTCTGCTAATTCGTGATTTAGTGCGATATCAATCCGTGATCAACTAGTAAAAACAAAACTAACCCTTACAAACCAAATATAGAAATTTAATCTGATGCTCGCTAGTGACTTGCTACAGGATAGAGTTCCCTGGAGTTCTAGTGAGAAGTCATAACCAGTGACGGCCATCCAGTCGAGAGTGAGGATGGATATTCCACCGATGACATTGATGGCTGGTGGTCGCTCTAAATATCAAGAAATGATAGAAGTTAGAATTCATAGCTGGCCATTGAGGAATCAGATATCACTGGCTGAATGGTATACGCGCTAGCTAGGCTTGTAGCCGGAGGGTCCTGAGTTCAAAACTTGGCGATGAGTGCGTACTACCGATGGGTACCAAACTAGGCTGGTGAAACGGCTATCTGGTACTCCCTTCTGGTTTTCAATGGTTCTCTAACTAATATCAATCCGTGGTCAGTCGTAAAAAAATTAATTTAGCCTATCTAACAACTTGTAATGATTATATGGTCATATAAACAGGTGAAAATCGTAGGCCAGAGTAACTTAGGCTTATGGAACAGAAAAAGTTAGCAAAGCCTAGACTAGTGGATCGTAGTAAGATAAGGAATCTTGAAAAAGACACAGCTGCAGTATAGCATACAGCCATACAATCAGATAAGTAGATAGTCTGAAAATTTAACATAACAAAATGGAAAGTTTGGTAACGGAATCTCTTTTCATTGAACTAAGCAAAAACACGTACAACAGGAATGGTTCAACATCTGTCGGGGATATGTGGAAAATTCTCCTCTTCCTCTTCCTTCGAGGAATAGAAGGGAACAAAGAGAAGTATAGAAACCAACTTTCGAAGTTGTATGGCTACAGATGGTGATATGATTATGTACAATAATAAACTGTATTCGAAACACTGTCATCCAGTAAATAATAGTGTGTCACTGTATGACATATATATATATATATCTCCAGTAAACTAACTAACATGGAGTTAAATACTATCATAGCATCCAAGTTATATATATATATATATATATATATATATATATATATATATATGTTTCTAATGGTATACACTACTAATTAACTTATATGAGTAGTCGGAAACCATTGACGCTAAACAGTATAATACTTGGTAGCCAGACTGAATAGCTACCGTTCAGTCGATGTTGACCAGTAGTAGAATTTAAAAATCACGTTTCGTCCAACTTGGGACTCATCATCTGAATTATAGCTAAAGGTGTCATCAAAGCATCTTTGGTAGTTACCCAGCTGTCTACAGAGAAAGAATTACTGCTTCACCCCAACAGAATCAACCCTCAACGAAAAATTAACAGAAACAATAACCTGAAGTAATTAACATTTGAAATAATCATTGAATCATTTTTCATTCCGTAGAATCAGTGTTAACTCAGCTAACAAAAATGCAGTAATTTGTCCCGCTTTCTTTGCCTCCAGTCAACTGCAATGAATTGCATGTGTGTGTGTGTGTATGATTATTGAATCTCTTAAAAGTTGTGCGATTACTTTGCCGACAATTATGTACAATCAAGTGATTTAGAAACTTCAACTAAAGAATTATATGGTATCTCAGTGTACCATATCAGATAAAGAGACTGCCACAAACGTATTGACTGGCGGTGGTACAGTAAAGTCATTAACAAGCATAAGTTAGAACTCATAAACAGTTGAATTCCATTCCAATAGCTGAATTATCGTCAACTGGTTTGTCTGATAACCTAAACGCTTTGGGTTCGATACCCCTTGGGATGTGCCGATATCAGTTCGTGGTCGAACTTGTCATAAACAGTAATAATCGTAATAATAATAATAATAATAAGAAGAAGAAAATTGAAACCAAATGAGAGTATCATTCATTTACCAGCATATTGTGCAGATAAATCTAAATTGTTTGAAAAGAATCCACCGGCTGAAAAACCCATAAAACCGATAGTTGCAGAGAATAAGGCTACAGCTGCATACGCATTACATCCAACAAAGATAACAGAAATGATTCCTGTTCCAAGTCCACCTAAAGCTAAAAGGTAATAAGAATAATAACAGCATGAATTATGATAAAAAAATATAATTATTGCGAATCAGTATGATTTGTTCCCATTCTACTCATATTCATCTACAAAGTATTTACCTTGGTATTAAATCACATTTAAATAATTTGAAATGACAGTAATTAGGAGTGCACTCCAGGGAGTTTTCATAAGTTAGATGGTCGTGTTTGTTCATACTGAAACTGGAATCCGACACCGATTGTTTCATCTAATCGAGAGTCATCTACAAAGCTATGAGATTTACGAGAGTATCTGCAACAATGTGTGGTATGTTTTAACCCTTTATTGAGGGAGAAAACTCTATCGCTTACTGAGAAGTGTAAGCATACTCATCAAACTTTTCTAAAAGTGTAAAGCGTGTGACTTAAAAACCAGTATTTAGGATGGAACTAAAGGCAGCACCAAACCATTCGTCATTTAAAGCTTAAAAACCAAGAAAAATCAGTTTACAATCATTTAAGTAGAATTGACACAAAGCATACAGGAATCAAAGCCATCCATTAGGCAGTGAATGAGAAAATAGAGATCCTCATTAACAAAGATGCTTCAGTCTTTGAAGTGACGAAGATAGCAATTAAGTGAACCGGTCTTCTTGTAAAGACGGTGAATACAACGCCATCTGACATTATATATATGTATATGGTGTTTTTTATTCGAATATTTACTGTCGTCTGAATTAATAACAACCAGTGGTGGTCATTGGGGATGTCCACTGTCGCAGCCAACTTTAGCTACTTAGAGATTGACTTATTACCAGGGAAAAGTCTGGTTGGCTTAGAGAACGCGGTTGATAATTACCTCCTAGGCGAAGACACTGACAAAAGATAAAATCTTCTGAACATCCTGATCAGTAAACTTTAAATGTTTGGAATGCGTTTCGCTTCAGCCGAGCGTAAGGTGATGCAACAGGATTGGACTACACCAGCCCCTAGTTTAAAGATCTCGAGTAACTTGGTTGAGTGTGTTGACCACTTCAATTATTTGATCAATTGCATCAGCCTCAGTGGACTGATCTCTGAAGAAATTTAAGCGCAAATACAACAGAGGGTCTAGTAGCATTTTCCAACTTGTATCATCTTTGGAGTAAAAGTGATATTCGACTATCAATCAGATGATGTGTATAATGTTCAATAGTTTACTCTCTTTCTTTCTTTCTGCCAATGACACATGACCATTGAGAGTGGAAGACATGAAAAGGCTAACTGTTCTTGACCACGCATGCTCATATTCTATCTGCCATACTAAATGGTTTGGTGTGGTGGTCAATGTTGAGATTAGGCGTTGAGTGTTAATTAAAGATGGGTAGTCAATAAATGAGGCTGTGAAAGGGAATCGATTTAAATGGCTGCGACACGTGTTGAGCAAGCTGAAATACCGTCCTTCTCGTCAACTAATGTTATATGAGACAGTATTAGGTTGGAAAACCGTTTGGGGTGGTCAAACTAAAACATTAATGAGAGCAGTGCATGGAGTCTTTGACAACTGGTTTGAGTCATATACAGAGGTACAAACTGTCTTACCGGAGAACTTGAAACTCTAAAACCGATTTATTACAGACCATTGGTGATATAATAAAAAGAACTTGCACAAAACAGGAAGATATGCAAGTGAAAAGCAACAAGTTGGCAGAAGAAGCATCAAAGATGGGACTTCAGGTAAACATGGAGAAAACAGAGGTGGTGAAGATTCCTGGCCAACAACAACAGACAAAAATCAGTATCCATGGGAGAAATCTGAAAGAAGCAACCTCTTTCACTTATCTGCCTGTGAAGCATCGTTTCAACTACAAGCAGACGGAACTGATGAATATATGAAAGCGAGGTTCGGGAAAGCAAGGCAAGCTTTCATTTCTCTCAAGTCTGTGTGGAGGTCAATAGCACCCACCATGAAAAATAAGATGCGGATTGTCAACTCCAGTATGAAGTCAGGGCTGCTTAACAGATCAGTAACTTGGCGCCGCGCCACGAAGGAAACTTGGAACGAACTACAGACCTTCATCAACATCTGCCTTTGCTCAATACTGAAGATTAGATGGCCAGAAAAAGTCAGCAACAGGGATCTCTGGTAATGAGCGAACCAACCAACCAGGAACCGGTCGTGCAACAAATGTGCAGGCAGAAATGGAGGTGGATTGGCCATACGCTGAGGAAACCATCAAGTGACATCACTAGACAAGCCATTGCTCGAGTGGGACCCAAACAGGAAGCGGCGAGTTGGTTGTCAGCGCAAGGGTAACATGGAGAAAGTCATGAGAAGAGGAGATGAAAGCATTTAAGCGGAAGCGGAGCCAGGTAAAAACTTTAGCAAAGAACTGAACACAATGGAGACACGTGGCTGAAGCCCTATGTTCCTCTAGGAACTAAAGGAGACAATAATAATAATGGCACAAATCCATTTACCCTTCATGATCTCCAAGATAAATTAAATCCCCGCTATTCTCCTCACGAAATGGTGAACCTTATCCGCAATTATTTCTCATTAGAGCTCTAAGAAACCCACCTATTCTACAACCACTTATGAGCGGAAGTTAGTTATCTTAATCACTGAATTAATGATTCTCCCAATTATTTTTCAAGAGTTAACTTGTAAGGATTTAATTTGTTTTTCGAGTTTGACAACGGATTGATATCAGTTAGAGAACCATTGAAAACCAGAAGGGAGTACCAGATAGCCGTTTCACCAGCCTAGTTTGGTACCCATCGGTAGTACGCACCCACCATCAGGGTTTGAACTCAGAACCCTCCGGTTACAAGGCTAACTAGCTCGTATACCATTCAGCCATTGAGATCTGATTCCTCAATGGCCAGCTATGAATTCTAACTTCTACCATTTCGTGATATTCAGCGCGACCATCAGCCACCAATGTGATCGGAAGGAAATCCATCCTCACACTTGACTGGAGGCACCTCACTGGTCACAACTTCTTCCAGTTATGTCAGTTTTTGTAAATCTTAGTGTAATAATAATAATAATTAGACACAACGAGGAAAACACACATTGAGGTGGTCCAAAGCGGCAGTTTATCCTTCACACATTCGTTGATCATTTGTCGGTTGTAGAAAGTGATACGTAGCTCAGCCATAAACTTCCTTCAGTGACCGACAAACAATATGGACACTTCAAGTCTACAGCATTAAATAGCTGCCATCAGCACATCAACAGGAAACCAAATATCAAAAGATTGATTCCAGCCGAACACAGAAAACAACTAAGTGAGATTCTAAAGAACAAAGACTTGGTTCTGACACGCCCCGACAAAGGTGCTGGCGTTGTCCTGACTGATCGCCAAGACTACATCGAAAAATGTTATCAGTTTTGTCAGATGAAAACAAATTTTCAAAAGAAAGTCGTCAGAAAGACCAAACGGATCAAGTTGAAAGCAAGCTAACACAAATGCTGAAGAAGATGAAGAACGAATCGATAATTAGCTCTGAATTATTCGAGCAAATACGACCCTCCGGTTCCGTGATTCCCCGCTTATATGGTCTGCCGAAAATGCACAAAGAGAACGTGCCACTACGTCCAGTCTTGGACATGGCAAATTCCCCATATCATGCTACTGCCAAATGGCTCACAGAAATCCTCCTACCTATCAGAAATAACCTCTGCAAGCATAGTGTTTCTGATTCATTTGAATTCGTCGATTCAATAAGTGATGCTAATGTATCCAGGAAGAAGATGATATCCATGAATGTTACTTCGCTTTTCACCAACGTTCCCCTCACTGAAACTATCTACTTTATATGCAAATTCACTGAGGATAATAATGTAGACGTATGTGTTCCGATCCACTACTTAAGGGAACTACTACTGAGGTGCACTCTAAATGTACAATTCAAGTTCAACAACATGATTTATAGACAAAGAGATGGAGGGGCAATGGGGTCACCATTGGGTCCTTTGCTTGCAGACTGCTTCTTGGCTAGTCTGGAGAATAGTATTTTACGGCCTACTTTCGACATTTTCTATCTGTACCAAAGATACATGGATGATGCTTTCATCATATGTGACGACAATACCGACATCGAATTGATAACTAGGGAGTTCATCAGCTGCCATCATGCCATCAAGTTCACGTCAGAATCAGAGATTAACTCGGAATTCCATTTTTCGGATGTTTTTCTAAAGAGGAGATCTGGTGGTTCTCTTCAAAGATCAATCTACAGGAAACCAACATGGAATGGTCAGTACACAAATTTCCACAGCTGGGTCCCTTTGAGGAGAAAGAGAAATCTGATCCATTCCTTATCCTCAAGAATAAGGAGGATATGTTTAAGCGATACAACCGATGGGGAACTAGGCCGACTCAAACAAGTTCTCATAGAGAATGGATATCCTCCAAGATTTATCGAGAAAAACATGAAGTTAAGAGAAAAGCCTGAAAGAATCCAGACGGTGCCGAAGAAACTGTTATTTATGAGTGCTGAATTTCAAGGTGATACTGCGGCTGAGATCCTGAAGAATCGCTTATGCAGATCACTAAGGAAAGCCTTCATTATGGTTGAGCCACGTACAACGAGGAAAAAGAAAATCGACTTACCAATAAAATTATTGATACGTCTTATCCATGTTGTTGACAACAAATTTCCTGATATAAGAATATCTGATACATAGGCAATTGTCAAGGAGACAATAATTTGTACAATATACGGTACAGACGACAATAAACCATTCTGTTAAAACAAAAAATCAAAGAAAAAGTTTCAATTATACTAGGAATTTGAGAGATAATGATAATGACGATGAAGGTGGTTACAAGGCTAGCCACTGGGATCCGATCCAATGGCCAGCCCATGAATTCTATCTTTGCCAATTCACGACATAGAGCGACCACTTCACCCACCCCAGTGGATGCGTACTTCTGAGGAGTCCCAAACTAGGCCGATGAAACAGCTGTCCAGTACTCCCTGCAGGTTTTCCAATGGTTCTCTAACTGATGTCAGCTCATGATGAAATCCTTCAACCAATCAAACAAAATCGCTTGAAAACCAATACTTGAATATTCATAGTTAGTGAAGTGAATATGTCAAGTTCGACTACAAATGGATGACCACGACAGACTCACTGGAAACCAGCAGGGAGTACTGGACATCTGTTTCCTTCTCGTTTGGAACTCATTGATAGTACACAGAGAATGCGATCCGAACCCAGAACCTTCCGGTTACAAGTCAAGCTGATAGACCATCCAGTCACTGGAACCTGACCTAGTGACCAGTCCATGAATCCTAACTTCGACTAATCCGTGATTTTATCACTACTACTAATCAATTGTGCGTCGGTGGCACAGTGATTAGGACTCTTGCCGACCATGCACATGGTCCGACGCACACCTGATATCTATGGTCGGCCTGTAAAATTTAGGCTACCGATATCCATGCTGAAAATTACATATTTGTACCAAAAATACGATGTGGAATCAAGCTGTAATCAAAAATAAATGTCCTCGACGAATATTCATCTTCACTCACGATCGGTCACGACTTCTCACTAGAACTCACTCCAGGGAACTTCGTTGTGTAGCTACTAGTGAGCATAAGATCAGTTTTTGAGAGTTAATTTGTAGGCATTTGATTTGTTTCAAGTGTGACCACAGATTGGTATCATTTAGAGAATTATCAACTTCTTCGTCAAAGTCTAATCGCCCGATGATGGAGAATAGGGCGCTGACAGAAATATGCAGAGGGATTAATAATTTCGAACTGTGCATATTACCACTGCTATTAATACTAACTACTACAGAAAATGATGTCTCGTCGAAGTAATTCAAACAGTGAAAGATATAGAAAGAATGAATTAGCTTTGTCAAACCACCGAGTTCAAGAGGCTTTTGTTTGTGTACTGTGATACACGTTCTATTTAAGGTAATTAAGCTTTGTGAAATCAGACTTGTATGTTTTAAACAGCCTATATGTATTCAACAGCAAAAAGAAAACCACTGAACAGGAGAATGTGAGACAAGATAGGACGATAAACGAGAATGAACTATAGCAACGTGCTAATCAAGAACCTATTGCCCAACAAACATACCGAAACGGATGAAGGTGGACTGGAAATTCTCTAAACAGACAGTAAAATGATATCAAACCCCTTACCCGAGGACCTCAGATGGAACTTGAAAAAAGAATTGACGAGTTAGGCCTGGATTCGTGGTTGATGCAGAGAACTAAGCGGAATGTAGATGTGCTAATGGCGCCAAGTATTCCATTTTAGAAAGCAAAATATAATGAATATATATTACCAAAACAAAAATCATACCAAATCAAACTTACTGACATCATATCAAATCCTAAAATTCTTCTCATATATGTTGGCATACATGTGATTAACGTGTACCAACCCCAATCATAGGTGAAATGACTAATGATAATAGACCATACAGCTTTAGACTTGAGCATTTCTTTCCATGGAACTGACCATGTTGATTGTAAATTGCCTTGTTCTATGAATACATTATCAGATATGGATTGATCTTCTCTAAATCAAGAATAAATAAATCAATAATTCAAGTGATGGTTTGTAGGGATTTGATTGGTTTCAGGATTTCATCATGAGCTGACATTAGTTAGAGAACCATTGGAAAACCTTCACTGGAGTACTGGGCAGCTGTTTCGTCAGTCTAGTTCGGGACTCTTTAGCAGTACGCACCCACCGGGATTCTAACCCAGGGTCTTCTGGTTACAAGACGAGCTCGTATACCATTAAGCCACTGGGACCCGATCCAATGTTCCTTGAATTCTAACTTCTGCCAATTCACGACATAGCGCAACCGCTATCCAATGTCTTCGGCGAGTATTTTTCCTCACACTCGACCGGCTGCACCCTACTGGTCACTAACTAACTAACTAATGTCAGCTCATGATGAAATCCTGAAACCAATTAAATCCCTACAAACCACCACTTGAATACCAATGAGATGCTCACTGGCGACTGGCCCTATTCAGGTAGGTAGTTACCTGGGTTCCAGTGGGAAGTCGTGACCAGTAGGGTGCAGCCGGTCGGGTGTGAGGAAAAATACTCGCCGAAGACATTGGATAGCGGTTGCGCTATGTCGTGAATTGGCAGAAGTTAGAATTCAAGGACCATTGGATCGGGTCCCAGTGGCTTAATGGTATACGAGCTCGTCTTGTAACCAGAAGACCCTGGGTTAGAATCCCGGTGGGTGCGTACTGCTAAAGAGTCCCGAACTAGACTGACGAAACAGCTGTCCAGTACTCCCAGGTTCTTTAACTAATGTCAGCTCATGATGAAATCCTAAATCAATAATGTTATTTAAAAGACTGAATGATAGGCTCAACTCCGCACAAAATCACATAAGTCTTACACACAGAAAGTTGTGCAATCGGTTTGTATTCCTAGACATACTTTTAAATCAGAAAGAAGATGACTCATCAATAAAGTGGTCAGTTCATAGAAAGCCTACTTGAACAGGACAGAATTGCAATACGAGGCCTACTCGTGGACAGGATTGAATAAGCTCACAGTACCTGTCCGTAAGGGAAAATACAGGTAATTTTGTAACAATAGAAGGCAAGACACGGAAGCCATATTTCCAACTGATCAAACAACTATTTATATCTATACACTTTGCATTCTTTAACCAACCCCTGAACGTGTGATTTTGGTTGACTACATTAAACGACATGGAATAGAATGTTCAAATACATATATAGAGTATTCTGTTGCTAATGCATTATTGAACTGTTGGAATATGTGAGAATAATATTCCGTTGGAACACATTGTCTGTATCATAGCACCCCAATTTTATCGGTATCAGTTTCGAGTCCATTGCAGAAATTACACTGCAAAGATCTTAGCTCAGAACGCCGAGAAGTCATGAATTTATAGAAAGTCTACGTGAACATGGAAATTTTTTTTAAGCTCTTACAGTTACTGTCGTTTACAATATAAGAGAGGCTTGGCAATCGATTATTTAGAATACAGTTGCAGCGAAGAAAATTTTCTTTTCGACGAATTCATCATCTAGGCTGTACATTCGTGTATTTATATCAAATGGATGGGAAAGTTCCAGAATAATTTCCGGTTAAGGGTCAAATTAATAAAAATTACAATTAGGAATTAGAATGCCATAATAGACAGGGGGACAGATATCCGCTCCACCTGTAGCTGAAACCATCGTGATTGGTTTTCATTGTTGTATCTTCATCGTCACTGTCTTCTCTATTTTCATTTGAAGTCCTATCTTGAATTACTTATGCTCTCTGAGCTGGTTGACTCAACTGCTCAGCTTTCGTCGTCATTCTAGACAACATCTTCAGCGCAAGTCTTTAGTATTAAATGAACTTATCTGAATTCTCCATGATTGATGTAATTGTATCTCCTGGTAACCACTGTTGTGTCTGGTTGTTAACTTACGTCTTTACTGATCATTTTGTTGACCTGGAATTCGAAGGGACGGATATCTGTCCCCCTGTCTATTATGGCATTCTAATTCCTCCTAATTGTAATTTTTATTAATCTGACCCTTAACCGGAAATTATTCTGGAACTTTCCCATCCATTTGATATAAATACACGAATGTACAGCCTAGATGATGAATTCGTCGAAAAGAAAATTTTCTTCGCTGCAAATGTCTTCTTAATAACTCTTATGACCCAATGTGTATATTCCGTAATCGATTATTTAAAAAGATTCGGTGTATTTTTACGGCTGATACTATAAATATATAAAGAAAATAACATATTCACGGATACACATTTCAGAAATGGATATCCCTTGAAGTTTCTAAACTTGTGTACATATTAGTTAGTTTCAAAGCTTCCAGGTTATTGTGTCCTAAAGAAAGATGTTTGCATGAAATTATCAGATAGTTGGGGAAATAAAATGGAGGAATTTTAAGACAGAGACTAAACTCGGTTACATAGCTTTCATCGAAACTGATTCATTCTTCCTTTCGTCCTACTTTATCAATTGAATCTTATGAT